TTTTTTTTTTTTTTTTTTTTTTTTGCAGTACAAGTTTAAGCGGGTCTATTTTTGTGCTCTTTTCTACTTCCATGAAAAGAACAAGTATATGATAAGGCATCAGCCCCAACTTATTAGCTTTGAACATCTTCGTGATCACTTAAATTTTTTTCATTTCTTATATTTTATTTAAGAAAACATATTTATTTAGAATTTTTTAAATTATTTTCTTTTTTATTTTCTAAAATAAATCAATTCACTTTTAAAAAGACACAAAATCATTTTTTGGTGTTTTGAGTGTTTTTAAAAGCAACTATCATTACCACCATTGATGTTGGCCACTGCCAGCCTTCACCACAGGCAACAAACATGGTTGTATCACCTCATCCACTGCCATACTAGTGATTGCCGCCACCACCATTTAAATAAGCAAAAACATGTTTTTAATAAATCAAATATGTTTTATTTGATGTCAGAATATAAACAAAACAAAATTAAAAATTAAAAAGAAAAAAACTAAAAGCAATCCCAAATCCCCCTTAAGGCTTTAGCTTGATAATTGCTAATGCTTAATACAAAACTTTGAGAGTAAATCTAGGCCATCAGACAAGTTTTTTACTCTAGTATAACAGATTAGCCTGCCACCGTCTCCAGTTATATTAGGCTTCCATCCCAAAGTTGTCAGGTTATAAAACCCTAAAAAAAAGAGTTAAAATGTAAAAAATGAGGATTCATGTACCTTTCCCTTTTTGCCATCAGATGTTTTTTCCCACAACTGCAACGTCAGATCACCATAGCAAGTATCTTTACATGCTGTCACTAGTCCAGCTTCTTGCGTTGGAGCTCTCAGGGGAGTGCCAGGTTCTTCAACTGTTGCTACTAATTCTACCTGTTCAATTTGTCCACAAGAATTGCAATTATTGCAGGGGCATAAATAGCTAGAATAATATATGATGAATTTCAGAACCAGTGCATATTTCAAGATACAGTAAATGTTAAAGAATTCAATGGACATTCTGAATAATCAAAACTATCAACTGCACTACATTTTGATGTTGCAGGTAAAGAGACCACCATATTTTGATTGTTCTCTGCAGAGATATGCCAGTAACCCCATTGACTGATCTCCCAGCTCACAGAACCATTCCAGGGCACAAATTCATAGAATTTTCCTCCATAATGAACCCCAACCTAGAAAAAACAGAACGCACAATTAGATTTATTCTGGTCTTCATGAGTGCCTTGCATATTGTTTAGGAAAACAATAAATAAAGAAAAACATGCTGACGCTAACATTGTTCAAGCCTAGAGAGTCGTCAAATTGTCTTAAAGAGATTATCATACTAACCATCAAATCCTGCAAGTTAAAGTTGTCCTTAAAAAAACATAGTTGGACCGGACTTTTCTAGAGCCTCTATTCTTGGTTTCATTTGAACATTTCACACTAACTCCTTCCCTCCGGTCAGTAGTCAAATCAATTTTCAATTTCTCATTTAGAAATCCTTAGGGCTTAGCCGGTTCAGAATCCTACTCCATTATCAAATCAAAGTGGCTTCCTATAAAATTGTAAGAAGTTGTGAAGGTGCTAAAAAGGAAAAAGAAAAAAGAACTCCAGAAAAAAAAAAAAAAAAA